GAAGAATATTGATTTGAAAATAATTGACAAGAGATGGAAAATGGGGTAGACAACATATCACTGGAAAAGGGGAGGGAACAGTATCAAACAGTAGAGTGGAGTAAAATCTACAGTACACACTGATTGGATTAATTAAGCAGGTACATAATTAGAATAATAATATGGAGAAAATGATATGAAATAATCTAGATTTTTTTTTTTTTTTTTTTTGCTTTTTCAGATTCATAAAGGAGCTATCACAGACCTTGTCAACCTTGGAGATATGTTTGTGACATCATCACTGGATGGTACTGTGAAGGTGTGGTCTACTGCATCCTATTCCCAGGTACTTATCGTGCATTATATATTTAAGTGGCTTTCCCAGCTGGTCACATAATATTTAAGGTTGCTTTCCAAGTAGGTGCATCATAAAGGGGTCATTCTTCAGTAAAGTGATCGTACTGTACCACGTCCTGCCACTTTAAAGTACTATAAAATGAAAAGTATTAAATAAAAGTAATAAACATTGGTTATTTTCAACAAAAAACTGCCAAAACCCACTAAATGTGCATGTCCTGATTTCATTTCTCCAAATTTCCAAATGTCATAATTCGTAAAGTAAGTAACTTGAATAAATATTTATACCACAAAAGACAAGAATGGCTGCATCACATTAAAGCAAAGATAATAGAAGGAAACGATAGACCAGTTTGGGTTATAGTGGAACTTCCAGTTGAAATGCTTTATGGGAGGATGGGGGTCCATAGAGAGTAATTTTACTCGATCCGATCGCCGGTGCTATAACTTTATAATCAATGCGGGCTCTGGTTTGTTTGTTTCCTGTAGTTTCTCCACTCTGCCAAATGGTCAAATAGTTACTTCGCTCGCAGGAGGGCGGATGTTCCATCAATTTTAATGCAAAATATGTGAAGAGGTCGAACTTCTGCTATATAAGTTTATTTTTTTTATTAAAGTACGTTTTACAGGTGGTCACATATTAAAGGAGTTTTCCCAGGTGTTCTAATTATATTTAAGTTACCAGGTGTGTGTTTATAAAGAGACTTAGTTGATTGAGTGATGACAAAAAGTATAGAACAGCAATAGGTGCGACATCCTTGATTTTGCATGTACAGAATGAAATGTGGTAAAACTTTATGTTTATTTATTTATTTTTTTTAATTCAGATTGGTCAATTTTTCTGCCTGGCACCAGTGACTAGTATGACAGCTTCAAAAATGGATCAGGGCAAAATGATCGCCTGTGGTGATAAGCTTGGTAATGTTTACTTCCTGAAAAGCGAGGCATAAGTTAGTGACTACAAATGTTGAATAACTGGATGAGTAGACATACAGTATATGCCATTCTTAAGATTCTTAAATGTTGTAGTAGTTTAGATAGTAAGGTGATAGGTAAAAAAGATAATCTTTTGTTTAGAGCAAAAGATTATATTCTACTCAAAGATATAGATTGTATCATTTATTGTTTCGCAGAAAATATCTGCCATTTAGAAAATGTATTATGTAATCAGTCAATCAAATTCATCAATGAATACATGTGATGCAATTAAATTACAACACCAATATTTGCATTTTTAAGGATTCCTTTTTGCTTTACATTTAATTTATTCATCAATACCAAGCAAATATTTGTGTAGACTTTCATCTAGTGTACTGTGTGTTGAATATAGTACTTAATCCATAAAGTATCACTTATGTTAATAATAATAATAATAATCATAATATTTATATTCAGTATTTTCAATATAACCTTGCCTATCTTCTTTGTGCCATGTGGCCTTTAAGGACATAATATCAATATGATTGCAGATAATATGTTATTGTTATTATTTTTATTATTATTGTTATTATTTTTATTACTGTTATTATTATTATTATTATTACTGTTATTATTATTATTATTATTATTTATTATTATTATTATTATTATTATTACTGTTAATATTATTATCAGGTTTCATGTTTGTTTATATATTATTTACTAGCAATTTTAATACTAAACTTAACTTATGATGACAGCATCATAATCATCACCATCATTGTCATCATTATATATTTTCTTGGCTCACTGACGTGACTAGACAGTTGATAACTAGAGAATGCTAATGACAGGACTTATAACTTGACCACTAAGTGACTTGACTTACGAATCTGACCAGTAAACTGACTGACCTAAATATTTTCAATAGATAATGGGTATACATATTTGAGAGTACTGTAAATTAAGATTATCTAGTCTATTTTGCAATAAATATATTCAGTATTATTATTGTATTGTTATAGTTCTTGGCTCACTGACGTGACTAGACTGTTGATGATTTATATAGTCTATTGTGTGTTACCCATGTTTAATATTTTTTCTGCAAAATATCCTCAATCAATTTCCACTGTCTTTTGCCATGTGTGTCTGTCATTAGCTTTTGCAATTTTATTATTTATTATATTGCTGTTATTTTTATGGTGATTATAGTAATTTCTTTATTATTTTATATATTTTATGAACTATTGAGTCAAGTATTAGCTAATATGTTATTGTTATTGATATTAATATAATAAATAATTTATATATTATCTTTTATTTTTATTATCATTATTATTTTTATTTTATTGACTAATATAAGTTTTACGTTTATTTGGCAACTCTTCCTGATTGATGAATGTTCTAGGCTCACTGACAGGACTAGACTGTTTATGAAAAGATGTTGATGACTTACAGGACCAATAACTGACTTGACTTACGACTTTACCGCTTAATGACTCGATTTTATTGTATTTAATTCAATTTATCACTGTAGATATGGTGTATGTACATTGGAGGAAATGATATATCTTTTTGTATGTGTGTTTTCAATGTTATACTAGTTTTTGGGGTTTTTTTTTCGTATCAATACAATTGTTGTGGAGATTTTAATAGAAAAGAATATATATAATATATAAATTAATGTGGAAAAGCTAAATGGAAGTCATATTACTAGTATAAATTAAGGTTCAACACACTTGCCATGTGATCATGTGGTAATATGGATGGTGTGATCTTTTTCAAACGCTAATAATATATTTTATAATGTTAATACAAAACTATGTTACCTAAACACATAGATGACTAATAACATTGATAATTATAACCCACATACATCCAAAGCATGTAGTCACAAGAAGATGTTATTAAAATATATTAGTACAGTAGTAAAGTCTGCGCATCTCATTATTATTTGTGTACCTTTCATAAAAATCAATATTTAAAATATATATGGTTTGGATTGGATTTTTTCGATGTCGTACACACCAAGGATAACCCACGAAATTCTTAAGACTTATTTCCAGTGGTTCCTCCTGGTGGTGCATTGGGCAGGTACGCTAGGGAACAAAGAGTGTACTGCGTTCTTTAACATGCACATGAGCCATTTTGCACACAGGGCTAACGGCTTTAATAGGGAGTTTTCGATGCACGACGTTAACTTTAACGGATGACGTCATAATGTATTCATCTTGCGTTGCGGAGTACGTTAATTTCAGGATTTTACGTGCTCGACGTATGTTAGTTACGGGTTTGCGCATGCGTATTTCGATTTGTTTACAAAAGAGGCGGAGCTATGGTCCGCGCTGCATGTTGGGTACTAACGTTAAAGTTAAGGTTAACGTCGTAATGTCTCGTCTCAAAGACACTACGCTTTTTCACACTTTCATTTCAGCCCTCCAGCTGAAACACAAGAAGCAACTGGGGACTAAGTGATCTTCACAGTTCAGCGCATGCACAGTGGCTACCACCAGTTTAGCCGACTGGACTAAGCTGCTCTCATTAAAGATACAGAATGTGCAAATAATAACTTACATTCTGCTGCATGGCATCAACTGCAAATTGTATATCTGGATCATTGTAGTAATTTCTGATGGAATGTTGAAGGCCATTCTTTACAAGATTCTCAGTCTGCGAACATTTAAAATAAAACAACATATTATATGAGATTTTTATTATTTCCATCATAACCTACCGTAATTGCAATAGCAATAACAATACCACAATCACAACTAATAAGAAACAATAACTACAATTAGCAATATAACAACTATATATTAACAATATAAAAACAACTATATCCCAAAATAATAGTACAAAAGTTCATTCATCCAACACCATAACAAAAATATAACAACAATTTAACATTATAACAAACATTAAAACTAATGGTCCTGACAATATATTATCTGTCTCTTATACACATCTAGATGTGTATAAGAGACAGAGGTCGAAGTGCACTGACATAATGTGATGGTGAAGGATGACTGAATTCAAGAGATTGCAGAATGAGATTCGCTGGCGGTATTGAGAGGTTGATAGAGACATGTTGGTTGCAGTAAATAGCCAATTTATTGTTCAATTTATTGGCATGTATGGGTAACAGCCTAAAAACGTAATCCTGTAAATTCTGTGACTGGAAATTTCAAAAACAGGTAGTCACTTCTCTTTGAAGAATTGTACATAAAATTGGTAAATTGTGGGACAGTAGAAAAAATAAGAAAGTAATATAATATGGCCATCATATGAATAAGATTTTCTTATGTATCATATTGTGTGTATACTATCTCCAATTGGTATTTATTTAGAAAAATCGAAACTGCATAAATGATCTGCAGCCACTACTTGAGTTCTAACACAGTAAAAACATTACATTAAAAGTTATATAAGATACTATTTCACCAATGACCAGTTTAACCACCACCAAGAAGAATTTTGAATGGTTGAGGTTAGTTCGTAGGTTTGTGCATACAAACAGCATCATGTGATTGAGAGTTTTAAGTGACTTTGGAACAAAATCTGCATTGTGCATACTTTCATTGTTGTTTTTTTTTTTTAAGCTTTGGTGTTGAAAGTGTTATGAGCACTGAATAGTAGACACCAGTGCTATAGAAGTCTCCACAATTATCATTTTTATTATACAGATTCTCCTTGACAGATCTTCATACTAAAAGAAATCTTGTGACTTATGGATATTTAAAATACTGGCAACACCGCAGTAACTCAATAAAAGCATCACTTGAGAATCAGGCCTGTAACCAGGAGGATTCCTATGAATGTTTTTTTTTTTTTTTTTTGGGGTGGGGGGAGAGGAGAAGTAAGCGGCCTTGTGGGGTTCAGTAATCTGGGTGGAGGGTGGGGGTTACGTGGTCTTGTAGGTTTCAAGGTAAAATACCCTTTGGAGGTCAGGAAGCAAAGGCCTTTCGAGCTGAAGAATTCTGTCATGTAAATGATGAATATGATTAACTTTTTGATGCCTCAATGTGAGACAGGTTCTGGTTCATCAGATGGAGATTCACTCAAACAGAGAGGTTCATCGAAAAGGGGTTTGGCCTAATCATAGAAATAACCATGGCTACAGGCCTGAGAATAAATACAATATTTCATAACATGGGATCTCATTCAGGGAGACAAATTAAATTTATATCCTCTACTATCAAGGATTACATTCACAAGGTCACATGCAAAAAAATAACCTTAGTATAACTTATCAGCAAATTCCTTCATTCACAAATTTTCAGCCAAAATGCGATTGAGTTGAGCATACCTGTGGTAGAGCAAAGCCTAGAATAATTCCAGCAATAAGTGCGAGGTTGTCCTCCGCCCACGCGGAGAAAGCATCTACACAACCTCTGATGTATATCTTGCCTTGTAATTGCAGACGATTAGTAACACCTTTACGAACGTCATCTCCACACTGTGTGTTTGGAATCATCTCATCCTACAAATAGAATACAAAAATACATAAAATATTACAATATTATTATTAAATAATATAGACAAATAGATTAATGCTGCAGTTGGAAGGGATTGAAGCTCACGGTAGGCTTATTGGCTCAAAATTTTCAATGGTAATAATTTACTATGTCCCTCGGTAAAACAATTTACACTAACTAACTCGTCCCTTGGATTTGACATTAGCTTTTGGTATATTAATGTCTCTGTAAACAAAAAAGTAATCTAAAATAAATATATATAATATAATCAGACTGTATAAAAAAAAAACAATCATGAGTTTACTATTGTATTGTCTATGCAATAGTTGCATTCATTAATTGCATTATTTAACTGAGCAAATAACCAATTAATTAGGAAAAAATTAAGTGGTTGATGTATACTATACCTTAGTGGAGACACAACAGGTGTATGGCACGCCACAGGAACTGGCTACACCCGTGTTGCACATAAAATAAATGTTATTCTCCCAGTCATCATAGTCATGACCTCCACAGCACTCAAACTAAAGGACATTAGCAATACAATAATCAATCAATCAATCAATTTCTTTTTACAACATATACAGTACACAATACAAAAAAAAAGAAGACCATTCATAAACAGAATTGATTTGATGAGAAGTAAAATATATTATATCATTGATACACAGAAGACATACAAAATCTAAGAAAACACTGATAGACCTTTCTGACAGGCTCCATTCCTTGGATAATTTTGCTAAGGATAGGACAGGTGGGAGTATTTTTCCGAAGACTTGTTTACAGTCGAGTCTTTCTGATGGTGAATTGGGAAGTACACCAGGAGACCCTTCTATTGTAGAAGTGGTTGGCGCATCGGTTGTGGCCTGTCTCTTATACACATCTAGATGTGTATAAGAGACAGCCTTGACAGATCTTCATACTAAAAGAAATCTTTGTGACTTATGGATATTTAAAATACTGGCAACACCGCAGTAACTCAATAAAAGCATCACTTGAGAATCAGGCCTGTAACCAGGAGGATTCCTATGAATGTTTTTTTTTTTTTTGGGGTGTGGGGAGAGGAGAAGTAAGCGGCCTTGTGAGGTTCAGTAATCTGGGTGGAGGGTGGGGGTTACATGGTCTTGTAGGTTTCAAGGTAAAATACCCTTTGGAGGTCAGGAAGCAAAGGCCTTTCGAGCTGAAGAATTCTGTCATGTAAATGATGAAAATGATTAACTTTTTGATGCCTCAATGTGAGACAGGTTCTGGTTCATCAGATGGAGATTCACTCAAACAGAGAGGTTCATCGAAAAGGGGTTTGGCTTAATCATAGAAATAACCATGGCTACAGGCCTGAGAATAAATAAAATATTTCATAACATGGGATATCATTCAGGGAGACAAATTAAATTTATATCCTCTACTATCAAGGATTACATTCACAAGGTCACATGCAAAAAAATAACCTTAGTATAACTTATCAGCAAATTCCTTCATTCACAAATTTTCAGCCAAAATGCGATTGAGTTGAGCATACCTGTGGTAGAGCAAAGCCTAGAATAATTCCAGCAATAAGTGCGAGGTTGTCCTCCGCCCACGCGGAGAAAGCATCTACACAACCTCTGATGTATATCTTGCCTTGTAATTGCAGACGATTAGTAACACCTTTACGAACGTCATCTCCACACTGTGTGTTTGGAATCATCTCATCCTACAAATAGAATACAAAAATACGTAAAATATTACAATATTATTATTAAATAATATAGACAAATAAATTAATGCTGCAGTTGGAAGGGATTGAAGCTCACGGTAGGCTTATTGGCTCAAAATTTTCAATGGTAATAATTTACTATGTCCCTCGGTAAAACAATTTACACTAACTAACTCGTCCCTTGGATTTGACATTAGCTTTTGGTATATTAATGTCTCTGTAAACAAAAAAGTAATCTAAAATAAATATATATAATATAATCAGACTGTATAAAAAAAAA